CAGAGGTGCAAGGTCCACAAGTTTATTGGCCATTTACTGCTGTTCAGACTTTTCAAAGAAATTGTGAATAGCCAACTGTTCAGCACAAAGCTCTTTATACCAGTTGAGAAGCATCACGCTTTACCATGCATGCACTTTGTCTCAAACATTCGCTTACTAGCAAGGCCTTTTTCTTAAAGACCTGAGGTGCTTATTTTTCATTTTTACACTGTTAGGATTATATAAGCCCGCTCATTTCTAAATAGTAGTGGGAAAGCAGCAGATATTTTCTGGTATGAAACTGTAAAAAGTATGAACTAACCAACTGATGGAGTTTGAATGAGCAAGCTTACATTGAAATAATAGAGGGCCAACCAAAAAACTGAACGAATTATCGCGAGTCTACTGTATTCGCAACCGGTATTTTACGAAAGTCCGCATATATGCCTTCGGATGTGAAGGTTTCATGTTCGGTCTCTACGGGCTGTCCTTTCGTCTGCTTCACATCCTCTACAAAAGAGGACAGTAAGTGCACAAAGACAAGAAAACACAGAGTGCTTCTTGTCTTTTCTTCCTGCCTTTGTGTGCTCATAGTGTACCAACTCAGTCTCATTATGTGCTGGTTTTCATCAAGTAGGAAGCACTTAGTTGGCCTCTGCTGGAGCTATGCTAAACTAGTTTCAGTCGGTCACATACCACTGAAGACTATTTCATTTCTGGCTGTTCATACTTTGCTTTGTTTCTTCTGCTCCTCCTGCAAATGTCACATTGCAGCTTGGGTCTTGGATGTCAGGAGAAATTCCAGGTGTGCACTTTTTGCCCTGCACTGCTTTTTTCTCATTAGATCACCAGGGTGCCTTGTCTTTGCTGCTAGCATGTCACGCCAACTAATCCAACAATTCATCCTTCTTTCTGCGTACGCCGCCCCATGCAGCCAATGGACTTGCTGAAAATCGCCGCTGTAGGTCTCAAGATCCCTTGAGTTTTTTTGCACATGCATTACATTTGAAGGCACGGAAACATGTGCTGCTCACACGTCTTACACCATTTGTCGCATGAGTGTGCTGCCTCCAATGCTTAGTCACCTTTTTGCTCAGTTCTCGGAGATTTGCCTTTGTGCTTGCTGCATGGGTATTTGATGGATAAAGTAAAAGCTCGGTAATGACAGAATGGTTAAATTGACTTAATGCTAGAAAATAAATATCAAGAAAACAATGAAGTGCCTGCTACATAGGCGCTTTTTTTTTATGAATGACCCCCCCCCCCCCCCTATTTTTTGGGGGAGATCTGAAATAAGCACCATTGACCGAGCAAATTCCTTCTCCCTTTTTTTTTTTTTTCTCCCTTTAAAATGAACCTTGTTTGTGTACAAAGAACCACTAGAATGAGTACAGTCAATGCATATCTAATGTTGTTTATGAAATTCTTTATAAATAAAGTATTTCACTAGAAACGTGCAAGACATATTTTAATTTATAGCAGCTCTCCTCTCACCATCTTGACATTCGGTCCATGATTGAGCCAACGTCTCCCTCTTGAACCTGGTCTAATTATTCTTTACAGTTATGGCAACACTTATTTTGCGTAAGAGCAATGTAAAAGCCGCAATTTTCACCATTCACAACGTGTTAATCATCTGATTTTTTCAATGGATGATCGAGGATTAGATTGTTCTGCATTTGACAAAAGCTGCAACAATGTGTACGATACATATAGTGTTCTCGCTTGTCTTGGCCTAGGCGGCACGACTGCCAGGAATGCTGGAAAACTTGCTTGTCGTGCCAGCCGTGTTGTTTTCCCCAGTGGCAGTCATTTTGTGACCATCATTCTAGCAGTGCTTGTGCGACAGACTGAGGAAAGGTGTGTGTGCCATGTATTGAAATTACTAAGAATGGCCATGCCAAATGTCCTTTTCTTTTGAGCTGACTGTCTACAAAGCTGTACACTTCATTTTCGATTCATGCTACTGCTATAGCTGTTTTTACTAGCAGCACAACTGCCATTTCACCTGTGGTGAGGCACAAAGCTATGAGTCAGTTTCTCTTTAGTGAGTGCACTTGTACTCATAAAAACCACTAATATGACTGTCACACAGACACTTGTGATCATGGTTGGCTCCTTTGCACAAACTGCAGAAGGTAGTCTGCAAAGAAATGAAGCCGAGCGATGGTGCAGTTGTCAAGTGCTTTGGTCATTGCGCAACCTACAGGTTAGATAAAGGTGCTTGGAATCCACATGCCCTAAAGGTTTAGGGTGCTTTGGAATGTTTCTACTAGCCACATGTCTGGTGAGGAATGTGTAAAAATGTGCGCTAAATCTGCTAGTGACAGTGTGATGATAAACCACAGCAGAAAATCTTTGCAAACCATTGTTACCATGCTTTTCTTGATATTATCACGAGGACCTGCACTGCATCACTGCTGTTAGGGCAAGATCAATGCAACTGAAAATCGTACAAGGAGCTAGAATACCAAGCAAAAAGAAGCCTTCCTTGAAAGTGTTCCTTCACAAAAAGTCCATGATGGAAAAGGTTTCTCGGCTCTCATCATTTTCACATTCCTTACTCACATGTGTTTACGTCAAGTTTATCGATTCTGTGTACGACCCATAATGGCTGTCAATGACACACTTCCTGTGTGTTGTGCAAGCTAAGTGCACAACATGTTGTCTAACGCAACACGGGAAAGATGACTGAGGTCAACTGGCTGGCCACTCTATCCTTGGAGTCTCTGCTGCCGACACTAAAATTGATCCGTAGCTGTCACATTTCAATGTTGTAGAGGCCCATCTACTGTGCAATTTCTGGAGCCCATTGCTACAGTGTCTTTCATAATGGTATGACAGTTTTGAGATGTATAACTCCAGGTATTATTATTAGAGACTGGATTATAGGTAAATGTCTATTTTGTTCCTTGCGTTCCTATCGCGCCATTTTGATGTATGAGCATGAACTAGAGGTCAAGAAGGGCTTTTATGGTGTTTTTATAGTACCTATAAATGCCTATTTTAGGTGTTTGTGCTTAAATGCCTGTAAGTGCCTATAAATGCCTATTTTCCAAATGAGTGCATATATGAGCGCTATTCAAGCCCTGATTTTGTTTGCGAGCATGGTGTGGAACCGTTATTCATGTAAAAACGGCAGCATTGATATTTCCAAATACTATAAGGTTCAACGAAGACAAAGCTATTGGAAGAGGAGTTCAAAAGACGCCATTTCTGCAGACCTAAGTGGAAGAATGTCTCAGTGTCTACAGGGGAAGGAGGAAAGAAAACTCAAGATGGAGTAAGAAAATAAAAGTGACGTCTATGAACGAGGACGTGGCGAGCACCTTCTACAGATAGCTGTCCAGTGCCCAAAAGGAACTGAAGAACCCCCCTGAAAACCTGGGTGTTAGGAGGCCAAAGGAAGAGCAGGTTTTTCTGGGCAGCCACGGGTAGCTGGAGAACGAATGAAAAACCATGGAGGACCACTCATGGAATGCTCTTGTTGATTCAGTGGTGGCAAAGGTCACCAAATCGTTTATACTTTATACAGCGAAGCCTGAGACAGGCGCCAGCATGTTTACAATTAACGGTGTGTTTGGCATACATTCACCGATGCTTGAATATGCTTGTTCCATTTGAGATCCCTTGTCATATGTCTTTAAGTGACAAACATTAAAAAATACATAACAGTGCTTCAAGGTTTGTCCTAAGCCATTAATAAAAAATGACAGCTGTAACAATATAAAAAATGAGGTAGGATGGGAATTACTATAATCGCCTCAAATTAAACTGTAGTTAAAGCTCTTATGTCAAGTCATTCATACTAAATTGATATTAGAAAATGAATGTAGCTTAACAGTCCTCTGTGCGCATTGGTAATTAGGATTTTAGAATGCCGTATCCAATATATTTTTCTAATAATTTGTTTTTTGTTAGTTTCATGACAGAATGAAATGGCTTATAAAGAGAACAATATGTGTTGTGTCAATGAAGGCATGTTTTCTTTGACATTGTAACCCATCTGCTGCAGCGCCTTCAAGTAACAAATCTGATGTGCACGTGGCTTTTGTTTTGTTTGTAATTTACTTTCTAAACGTCTCTCTCTAGGTGACTATAGGCTGTAGTTAGAAACTAGAAGTTCTTCGTGCCCAATTAAAAGCATTCTACCATGGTGATTTTTCAAATTGGTATGCTACAAGACACCACAGCATGATGCGAAGAAGCAAACTTGATTACCTTGCCTCTCGTCCCATGTAGTCATCGTGAGCCTTATTCCTTCCGTGTTTTCTTCGGTGTCGCGACTGGAGAATCACATGACGCATACGCACCAAGAACAACGTGCGTAAGCAAGTTCACGCTCGCATGACGTCCCCCAGTCTACTCGTGCGCATACGCCATCGATATTGTGTCAATTTGGCGCTCTCTGTTCTATATTACCAGTTTCTGTGAGATGGATCAGTCAGTGCGTGTACTTTAGGAGAGGTTGGCAATAATCATGTATTGTGACCGCGATACACCACGTCGCTCTGCTGAAACTGCGGTCAGAGACGATGCACCAAACACAAGCTAAGCGTTGAGGGTTGGCGAAGGCGCGATGCAGGAACGACGAGTAGACGAGCGCATGCAGAATGGGGTAGTAGTAGTAGTAGTAGTAGTAGTAGTAGTAGTAGTAGTAGTAGTAGTAGTAGTAGTAGTAGTGTATAGTAGTAGTACACAGTAGTAGCAGTGGTAGTACGTGTGGTTTTACGTAAAAAAAACCACGATATCAATATGAAGGACGCCGTAGCGGAGGTATCCGCAAATTTTGACCAACTGATGTTCTTTAACGTGCACTGACATTGCACAGTGCACGGGCATCTACTTTTTCGAATCCATCTAGATGTGACCGTCGCGGCCACAATCGAACCCATGGCATTTGGGTCAGCAGCGGAGCACCCTATAGCGACTGGTCCACCGAGGCGGACGATAAATGGGGGTCGATTAGTGAATAGCATCTCGTGGCTATTCAAAACAAAGATAATTATAAGCCAAGATTAACGTTTGCGTGTTTTATTATTTTTCTCGGCGTTCATTCAATCCACTGATCTTTAAAGGGCAGTGCAAAGACACAAGGAAAAGAAAGACATAGAGAAGACATTGAGGCAAAGAGTGCTGTTTTTCTTTTCCCTTTGTCTTTGCACTTCCCTTTCAAAATGATATGAAACAGCTAGCCTAAATAAAAGTACTCCTCATTCATGCTACACAACAGAACACACAAATTGCACATGCCAAGTATAATAATGTTGCATGCAACACTCTGAATGAGGTACCGTTTAAAATGCAGGATGTAATCAGGAGACGGAACATTTTTCGTCTTTTTTTATAGATACAGCAAGCATTTAACGAGGTTCTGATGAAGAGCGTACAGTATGCGATGTCAGCCCACCAATGTCAACGTATTGGAGCAACGTAAAAACAGGACTATTCCTTGCTGTACGTCGCTCCCTAGATCTTGAGACGCACGCCCGTGAGAAGGGCAAGTGGCATTCATTAGGAATTGAGCGTTTTGCCGCGACATGAAATTTGCAAATCTTAACAAGAATTATATGGAGTGCCCAGTGCACTATTACGCTTGTCAGCTCGAAATGCTCAAACCTAGTGAGGGGCCCTTTAAGGTGTTCACCGATAGGGGAGAAATTGGTGCGATGCGATTAGAGCTAGCATGCTTGTCTTCTGGGGTATAAGTGGTCCGGTTATTTGCTCCTGTGCTGCCCTTCCCAGCCACTACGAAATGAAAAAGACCCATGAGAGTGTTAATTGAGTGGTGAACACTTGATGCACAATGGTAGACAATAAAACGAAAGACCACATACTGCGAATCGCACGGGAAATGCATGCCTATGTTCAATCGTTGGTACCTTTCTGCTGTCTCAAATATAATTTTTTTGCTTCTTGCTATAGGTACTAGTCACCAACGTCGTTGTTTTGATATATTTCAATTTTTGTAGAAATTTATTGTGCCTAAAAATATGACTTTGAGAGCCTAAAATGATGTTTTTGTTTGTCTTTGGCACCTAAAACACACTTTTTTAGTGCCTAAAAATCCTGCCTCTGATTATTATTATCCATCCTTGGGAGTCTGACAAGAAGGGCCACCTGGTACTTCCTGCTGCCACAGACGGGAGGGGCGTGGCCAGGGACGGCCAAGTGACGTGGACACAACAGTCATGGCTCTATGACAACATTTACTGACACGAGATGTAGGCACACCGACTCATCACCCCCAAGTCAGAGCTTACCTAATGTGGCGTATCTTGTGGGTACAGTAAGTGCAGAAAGCCCACATCTGTCAAAGTCATATCATCCACACAGGTTGACTGCACACAGGTTGGCACAATGTCATTTCCATGTTCGGTGTCCCACTTGGAGGAAGCTTAACTTTCAAGCAGTGTGTGGCCTGCACGTCAAGAATGCAAATTCAGTCTGTTCACCCATTGTTTGCAGCTCGGTGAGAGTAGATTACTCGGAGGGAGGGCAGCAACACCATAAAGAGGAACAGTTTTTGCCCTTTCGTGCATCACTCGATCAAGGAGATTGATTCACATGGGTTTCTGTTTCGTTTCAGCTTCAAGAAGCCTTTACGAGTCGCCGATGAACTGTCTCAAGCTCTGCGAGGTGCTCAACTGTAGTGCCTTCCCGCAAAAGAGCCTCTGATTGGGATGAAGAACATCTCGTGAAGCGCTACTCTTCTACCCTCTCATCTGAACAATTGTGCTCTGCAGTTAGCCATGTGTCACTTCAGAGCTCAATTCTGTGTTTTATGAGTGGCGTGGGATGGTTTTCACAAGCACACAGCAGGATTTGTGCATGGCCAATTTGGGTGTAGCCAAATGCTCAGACAGTGACACAATGAGCTGTGACATGTATAGCATCATCTGCTTTGGCTGTGGTTGTTTCTCAAATACGAGACAGCAGGATGTGTAATTATCAAGAGAAAAATGTGGACGAAGAGAGAAAGGTACAGCAGTTAACTGGGCTGTGGCCCTTCTTTCCACGTTATTCCTGCATTTTTCTTGAAAATTGAATACCTACTCGCCCAACGGTCATTTAGTGCGTGTAAATAGTAATAAATAAAGTTGCGTGTAGTGCATCTCTGGTTTCAGTGTGAAGGCGGTGCATATTGCAATGTCATGCACAGCTCATCTTTCAACGCCGACGAAAAGTGTTAAAAAATACAATGTTGCTGCGTGTAGTGAACAAGCTTGCGCATACCAAGTGTATTTGCCGGGAAATGTTAGCTTTTTACTTTCTTCAATAGGGCTACATGATGTTAAAAGGTTCACACTACCTGCGAGGTCTCCTGCAAGTGATTATCTCGGCTTTGCAAGCACCGAGATTAGGTTTGTTGGTAATTGTCTAACAGCGCACATTAAATGAAAACAAGAAAGAACACAAGATGTTCTGTCCCTATGTGAGAGCAGCTCGCTGCGTGTTGCAACACCCTCTGCAGGACATTAATAAAGTTTCCCATTTTTATCATAATATAGGAAAAGAATGCAATATATCACTATCCATGATTAAAAATCCCTCAAGCTGAACAGCGAGTAGCCACTGTTTTTCGAATCTGTTTACGTAATTGCTGGTGATATTTCAAATTGTCCTTTCTACTGCTACATGTTCTCAATTTGTATGTTTTTTGAAGAAGCCCCATGTATCATTGTTGCCTTGCACTAAATATCGGTTGAGAGATTCAAATTACACTAACAGAAGCTATGCACCTTGACTTATGAGAATACGCAGCCAAACCAAAGTTGTGAAACTCTTGCTTATGCCCGTGCTGTTGTTTTTCAAGTGGTAGCAATCGTCAATAATGTACCAATACAACTTATGCTAGGCATGCGTGGCACATTATGCTCATTTGCGCTGACCAGTTGCATCTCTGTGCACGGTCACTTATGTTGCGACCAGCAGATGGACACATTAGGGTTGTCCGTGAGCACAGCATTGCACTTTATGAATATGGCCATCTAAACAACCGACTTCGGGTGCAAGAAAATGTCTCACATTTTCACACAAGCTGCAAACACGAGCTTGTCTGTGTTAAATCACCAATCGTCTTGCGGCAATACGTAAGTGTCGTTGTCCACCGCAAGGAATCGCAGGCAGGGGCCGAAGTAGCTCATCACGTAGTGCGACCCGTCGGCGGGTCTAACGACCTGCATCGAGATGAGGATAATGTCCACCAGCTGTCCGAGGAACATGAACCCGAGCGTGCAGAACTTTGCCAGCCCGATGGCCGGGTAGCCCAGGTAGAAACGATCCACGCCGAACATGCCCAAGAACACGGACAGCAGCAGCGCCGTCTCGAACGAGTAGCCGTTGGTATAGCGGCACGCGATCGCCTTCTCGAAGGTGTCTCGGCCTGTGCCGGTGCCGTTCTTGCAGATGATGCCGTCGGCCACGGTGCAGACCACGCGCGCCAGGTTGTCCGGCCCGCATGTCGTGGGCTGCTGCGTCGCCGGGTCTATCTCCGGGGCAACGCAGGAGTACTGGCCCATCAGGAGCGCGCTGCAGTTTGCCTCGTACAAAGCAGCGCAGCCTGCGGCGACACTTAGTAGCACCAAAGCATATGCGAATGCCAGCATCGCTTCGAGAGTTCAAAACCCACAGAGTCTTGCCGAAGAAAGTTTCACTTGTTTACAGAACCACTGCACAGTCAGCTCACACAGTGCGCCGCAGCAAACGATCGAACATTCGGGTAAATAAGCATACTTTTGAGCTCGTTCGGTATTCCGCTGTACGCCACGACTTAGATATTGTAAAACGCATTGTGAAAAGGTTCGATAACTTGAAAACATAGAAAGGGAGGAAAAAATTACAAATGTAAGAGCAGCGGCAGGGTGGCTAGCGGCGTGACATGCTCATTCCGCTGCTCCTCGCGTGGCCATTTTTGCTTGTTTATTATTTTTTTTAGTTCTCTAAAGTGCTACTGCACGCCATGGCTATGGTGGGCTATTGGTGGCTAGAAGCATGACCTACTACACTCCTGACCTGCCCAGAGAGCACCTCTTCCAGCGCCCACGTTCTAGTTCATACCTTCTGCCGCTAGGGCCGTCACCTACGAGCGGCGTGGCGCTAGGCAGCACCTGTTCGCTGTCGTCTGCTTCAGCCATCGCTGTGGCAGTGCAAATCGTTCTTATTGTGCATGAATTGTGTATGAATGTGTAAAATATGGCAAATAAAGCGATATGATTCCTCGTCAGAGTTGGCTGCATTCGTGTGGACGTTTGAAGCAGAAATAGAACCGTAAAAAAAGCACACAAAGGGTCACAGTGGCAAGCAGACGGGAACTTTTCTACAAATGAAGGAAAATTTATTATGAAAATATTTCTTGAATGAAAACGTAGTCCAACGAGATAAAAAAACTATTGTTAGGCATTCATTGTTCACACTGAATCACGATGGTTCCAGACGATACGCATACACAAATTGCAGAAGATACGCAGAAACACAGTAGGTCGTGTGCAGAAACTTGCAGACGGCAGATAGCTGCAGTAGTCAGCTCTAATAGTGGCCGCGTGCAGTTTTTTTTTTTTAGATGAGCTGACACCTCAAATGTAAGTATGGTGTATTGCTGCGTGCCATATTGCAAATCGGAACAAGGCAAACAAAGTAAAGTAAGTTTTCACGAGTTTCCTGCCACAGACATACGGGAAGAATGGATCGAGGCAATTGGAAGAAAAGGTGAGTCTTGTGTTTTTGAGAGTCGTTTCAATTCAGAACGAGTTGCAAGCTAGCAAGAAGCACCAGGGTGCTTTAGTAAACTTTATTTCCGTGTGTTATGCTAATTCACTGAGCTAAAAAACATGAAAGCTTTTTTAAAGTACCGCGGCTAATATGGCAGGCTCCACAAATAGTGCCAAGAAATTTAAATATAGCACACAAGAAAAAAGTAAATATACGAAATCTGTAAATTATGTAAAAATGCGTAGCGGTGGGTTGCGAGGGGTTCGAGCACCCTTCCCGAAGGCTGCCTCAACAAATGCCGCCGAAATCCATAAAAAAATTAATGATATGAAATATTTACGTGCTGCCTCCACAGTTTGTCTCTCTGTGTGTGTGTGTGTGTGTGTGTGTGTGTGTGTGTGTGTGTGTGTGTGTGTGTGTGTGTGTGTGTGTGTTTAGCGATGGACAACTCTTGAACACTGGGTGTCACTGAAGTTAGCGACCGAATTTGGTCAAATGTATTTCTCATCTCAAACCTCTATCTTCCCATACAGCTTTGTTCGTTTCTGTATAAGCTTACTTAAGGTAATTAGAAACGTTACGCCGGTAACGAAATGTGGCGATTAACTGTTCACTCTATATAGGGCTGGCAGGCGGTCGGGTATAATGACATAATTGAAGTCCTTCGTGCAATGAGCCCATCGGCTCTGTGAGGGTTAAGAGACCCAGCCGGTGAAACCGAAATGAGGAACCTGGAATAATCAGCGACAGATACTCTATTTATGTGCGTGCTGCATCTGAGATTACATCATGCATGACAAAGATTCGTTTTGGAGAATGCAAAAGAACAAAAACCACTGAAGTCATCGTCGTCAACGGCGGAGTCATTGTACAGGTTAGAGGTTTGCGCTCTAAACCAAGACCAAGGCGCTCAAGTGCGCCTCGGTTTCGGCTCTGTCGTATTGGGTCGCGCTTCGTTACTGAGCAGCCATTAGGAAATTCAGCTTTGTTATGAAACCTTGTATAGCCAATGAGCTCTTCGAATAAAGGGCTTCAAGTATGCCACTGGACTCGACCACGTACCATCACTAAACATCAATCGACGAATGTAGTCATCTAAAAAGACATTTACAAAGGCTGCGAGAAAATATGAAAATGCACTAAATGGGTATACAGGTACTTCCCCAGAATAAAATCGTGGCTATGCTTTTTCTTAACCTCCCCATTTGGCTTGTTACATTTTGGAAAAATTAATTACAAAAAAGGTGTTATGGACTGTTATTTTGCAATCTTGCTAGCCATGCGTATACGCCTTTACCTTTGATGAAGGTTCAGGAAAGCATCGCTGGGAGCCCAGCGACCGGTCGAAGGTATGCAGCCTGCATTTTACCGCTGAAGATTACAGAACAGTGACGAAAAGGAAGATGTTGAAGCCCACAGCCGTGCCTTCCTTATTTCCCGCTTCTCCTGATCCACGTGGGCAAGATCCAATGCCGCGGAAAAAGCGGCTAAAACGAACGCAGGGGGAAACAACGCTGGCACCCATACAAGTAAAAATACTGTAAGTAAAACTTGAAGTCTAACACAACAACGGATAAGAATAATGTTAGCAGTATTCCCTTATGCGTTTAGCGGGACAATATATCTGTCATGCTTCGCTATTTTTTCGGCTTAACAGGGGAACGTCCAACGCAGATTCTTCTCAAGAAGAGCGAGCATCAGCGGAGCCTGGGGAAGTATATAGTTCTGAAAACCCAATTGAAACTGCACAAGAGGCCGAGTGGTTGCATTTTCCATCAAGTCAGGACAACATGGAGGACTGTAGTTCAGTTATACAAGGGGAACACCAGAAGAGGCCAGTGCGGCGCTCCATGACGTCGCAAACGTCGATCGGTTTGAAGAAGATGCGCTCCCTGGTCGCGGCAACTAAGACGTTGCGGCGGAAGTGCAGCAGGCTGAAAGAAATGAACAGTAATTTGCATTCACAGCTAGAGAAGCTAAAGAAAGATTTTTTCGAGATGAAAGCCCTCGCCGAGGCGAATGGCGCTCTAACGCTGCAGGTACGCAGTTACGTCAGTGGACGAATGTTATATTAATCCTTTTATATTCGCACTTAATTTTAAATGACTCTGAACATAATAACAATTTAGGAGTAAGTCAATTCTATCAACATCACCCGTACTACGAGAGGACGTCCGGTGAGCGAAGGAATTCTCGAAACTATAAGAGATTGTAAAGGTGGCGATGCTACCCTTAAGTTCTCGCGCATCGGCTAGCAGTGACGTCATACTTTGACGGCCTCAGGTAATGTCTAAGACTGCTGTGTTAGTAGATGCAAGGTCTGAAGTAGCAAGTTTCAAAGAAATGTTCTCAGCCAATGCGGCCAAGTACACAAGGAGCGACGCAACATAAAGCGACGTGCACGTGTCGAAGATTGTTCGCCAAACTCAGAACATTAAACCTAGTCTTAATTTTTTCTGTTCTAATAGTCGTATGATCGGAACAGGAACGATAGAGAATTATCAGGTACTCATTTATCAGTCTATTAACTTAGTGTCCCTATACTTTTTTGTAAGAAACGTCAGAAAGGGGAGGATGGAAGCTTGCAGTAAAAAACCTGTGAACAGGGGTTGTTCCCATTCTTTAATCGCTGTTTACACACACACAAACACTGAAAATAATCATGAACCAACTCGCTTAATCAGTAGTTTTAGCAAAGTTGTTTCGAGGCGGCGTTTCGACAAGCAGGCTTGTTTTCTGAAAGACTGAAATACAATTATAGCCTTAAGGATGACAAGTCCGCTGTCATGATGTCTGCTCGAGAGAAACTCTGTTTATAGATTTTCTTCTTCATATAAATTTACGTGACATTTTAGTGTACGCCGATGCTGGCAATCTTTCTGGTCATACGAAGGTGTAGGCCTGACATAAGGACACGGAATAAAAGAAGGTTGGTGGGTAAGCGCGCACATGAGCAAGTGTTTAAGATACGAAGGTCGGTGTGTACCCCCTTGCGTGATTGGCGCACCCCGAGTTTATTCCTTTATCCTGCGAACAACGAGTTCAAATTTCTGTCGTCGCAAACAATTAGGGACATTGGACTGACAACTGGAAAGACAGTAATTTGCAAGCTGTGTTGTGTTGGTGCTATGGGCCGATCGGTTTATGCTCGTACAGGAAGCCACGCTTGACGCACATGTGATGTCTGCCTTATAAACTTGAGCGAGCAGCATTGCATTCAAAAAGGAAGGAATGGTTTGGAAAGTGTAAGTGAACAGTTTCCGCTAGTCCGTATGTGTGAGTCGGTGGCCGGTTACTGAACATGACGCAAGTCTGAAGTTGCGCAATTCATTAATGTAGCATAGCTGCAATTGAATGTCCACGTGGTGACATGAAACATCTATTATTGTCTTAAGAGTAAACGCATATCTTTTCTCGCGATTATGAATTGTTGAATAAGGAATGATGCCAAATGCAAGGTTTCGACAATCAGGTGCACTATTCTTTGTCAGGACAGCAACAGCCTCCTTTAGTAGCGTGTGTGTGAACGTTTGCTCACTCTCCCACAACATCTAAACTTGTCTTGACAAGGGCAAGTCCAGTACGTAAATGTCGAATTGTTGGATGCGCCGGCATTCCCTGCTCTACGATGTTTCAGCGGGTCAAGCTTCCATTCTCCCCTGCACTTCCGCTTTCTTCCAGTATGTTATCTTGCGCGTGATTTACGCATTTCAACTGCCCTTTCATCATCAGGAAATGCTGGACGAGAACGACAAGAAGGCTGAATTTTTGAAGGAGCAATTGCAATGCCTGCGTGAGAAAAATCACCGTTGGAAAGAGGTGACCATCAGGCAGGCCATAATGTGGCAAGCTAAATCACCCTGCGGGTACGAAATGTTGCGGAGGTCTGGGTGCCTCACCCTTCCAAGTCGCATGACACTGAAGCGTTACATTGGCTACTGTACTGGAGCAGTTGTTTCGTCGCTAATGAAGCAAAGGCTGCACACGGAAAGCACACACTTGTCCGAACGGGTACGTTACTTCGATCAGAATTATTTACAATATGCACGCGAATAACGAAGGAAGCAGCGCACGCGGCAGTGTTTGACTGATCAAAATACATGCTAGTATAGCCGAATGAAAAGTGATTTAAAGTGAATAAACAGGGACCAGACCTGTGGCAAGGATTACTCGAACGTAAGATGTATTGTTTAAGAGTATACGGCAGTGCGCTATGTTTGCTCTAAACCCTAATCATTTCTGTTAAATTATGGGTCATGTACGGAA